TTTCGGGATGTTAATCGTTCTAATTTCATTGTCTATTTTATAATAAAATTATTTTACTTTTTTTTTTAATTAAATAATATATTATATATTTTTATTATTYGATAAAAAATTAAAAACCTTAATAAATTGTAGAACAAACTAGAATCTAAAACTATAAAAATATCTTACATTGTATGGTTAATACTGTAAAACTAAAAATAATATATCTAATTGCTGCAATCACAATGATATTAAGCACAATGTCATAATACAAATATTTTCTGTCAATTTACCGTTTGGGTATTATACTAATTAGTCACGCTCAGCTCTCAGTCATTCGAAGTTTTTCGTTTCAAAATGAAATGTTTACTATCGCTAAATAAACCACGCGTGTATATGACTAACGGTTTTKAGTTAGTACAAATACATATACATCGCAGATTATATAAACCAGATKTTGCATTTAATAATAAATGTATTTATTATGATGTATTTTATTTTATTAAATTTAGGGGATGAGGACATACTTTTTTGGAATTTTTGATATAATTTTGGCAAGCTCTAGTTACCATGGGGATTGGGGTMATTTATTTGATGTAACATTTTTTAAGGGAAAATTGTTGTGTTKTATTGTAATGTCCACTGGAGTAGTCAACTACTGAATTTATAGATTTGTGATTATTTTTTATAGCAATAATTTAATYATACGTTTTWCAAAGATCAGATACTTGATGGTATCTGGTGAAAAATCAGAACGATTCTGCTAGCTATAACCTAAAGGTGCATTAAAAACTCTGTGTCTCACTTGTACGAGTTTTCATAGACAAAAACAGTCACCAATTAAAATACATTATTTTTCATTTTTCTTATGACTGCATTTTACACTGATCGATAAATTATGGGAAACACACATTTCATTTTTTTCATTTGTAACTGAGTGTAATATTTCCAACAAGTATATTTTAAAATACCTTCCTGGGCAACTTTATTTGAAAYACTAATTTTACATATTTTAAATCGCTTGTAATAGTATATTTTCTTAAAATTTTCATCGATAATTTTAAAGTAATGCATAATGTATTCTTAGAAAGTGATGAGTGATGTCCCTTCATTTTATTATACAATTCACACAAGCGTATCGTACAAAATAAATKTAACATTTTATGCAGGAAATATCAATGCTTAAAAATAAGTWAAGTATCTGTATTCGCGTGCAATGTCCTGTTTGCATATTATATTTTGTTGTTTATAATGAAAATTACAATTTAGGTTTCCGAACTTGTGTCTTTTTACCATGTTTTAAATTAAAATGTTGGTATTAAAACTAAAATATGTATRTCTATTTATCTAATCCATCTACCACTAATGCTAAGGAAGTGAGAGCCTTTTGAAAAATATAGGTGACTTGAATTTGGAATCATACTTATTTAATTATTGTAAGAAAATAAACTTAAATCATAAACAAATGACTTTTCGATTCTTTATGGTTTTAAAAAATGCTCTTACCTTATTTTAATAATTAATGATCGACTGTTACAACATAACTAACATTACACATTTTTGTTTTCAAGTCTATTGTAAAATATTAATCGGTAACGATAGGTAATACAGATATATTGATCGGGAAATATTAATTTTGTATATTGACGATCTAAAATCTATAAAATCACCAAGTTATTATATAATTTATAGTATCCTACCCTCTTTCGTATTGGAGTATACTGTATACAGCCTCGCGTATATATTATTATTATATTTTATTGATATTTATTTTTGTCTTATATACATAGGTTCGAAATCAACACCAATCGATAACTCAATATTGAACTTCC